GTACTTGCAACACGTTTCTGTACTTGGTTGAGTTGTGAGTATTTTCAGCACATTTCTGTATTTAATTGCATTATAATTTTTGCAGCGTCTTTCTGTGTTTGGCTGCATTGTGAGTATTTGCCTTGTGTTTCTGTATTTGGTTACATTGTATGTATTTGAGGCACATTTCTGTATTTGTTTGCATTGTGTGTATTTGCAGCAAGTTTCTGTTTTTGTTGCATTGTGAGTACTTGCAACACATTTCTGTATTTGGTTTCATTGTGTATATTTGCTGTGCGTTTCTGTATTTAGTTGCATTGTGAGTATTTTCAGCACATTTCTGTATTTGGTTCCATTGTGTGTATTTGCGGCACATTTCTGTGTTTTGTTTCATTGTGAGTATTTGCGGCACATCTCTGTATTTGGTTTCATTGTGAATATTTGCTTTGCATTTCTGTATTTAATTTCATTGTGTGTATTTGCAGAACATTTCTGTGTTTGGTTTCATTGTGAGTATTTGCGACACATTTCTGTATTTGGTTTCATTGTGAGTATTTGAGACACATTTCTGTATTTAGTATCATTGTGTGTATTTGCAGCAAGTTTTTCGTGTTTTAGTTTCATTGTGTGTATTTGCTGTGCATTTCTGTATTTAGTTGCATTGTGTGTATTTGTGGCACATTTTTGTATTTTGTTCCATTGTGAGTATTTGCTGTGCATTTATGTATTTGGTTTCATTGTGAGTATTTGCGACACATTTCTGTATTTTGTTTCATTGTGTGTATTTGCTGTGCGTTTCTGTATTTGGTTGCATTGAGTGTATTTGCGGCACATTTCTGTATTTGGTTTCATTGTGAGTATTTGCGGCACATTTCTGTATTTTGTTTCATTGTGTGTATTTGCTGTGCGTTTCTGTATTTGGTTGCATTGTGTGTATTTGCGGCACATTTCTGTATTTTGTTTCATTGTGTGTATTTGCTGTGCGTTTCTGTATTTGGTTGCATTGTGTGTATTTGCGGCACATTTCTGTATTTGGTTTCATTGTGAATATTTGCTGTGCGTTTCTGTATTTGGTATTATTGTGTGTATTTGCAGCACATTTCTGTATTTGGTTTCATTGTGAGTATTTGAGACACATTTCTATATTTGGTATCATTGTGTGTATTTGAAGCAATGTTCTGTTTTTGGTTTCATTGTGTGTATGTGCGGCACATTTCTGTATTTGGTTTCATTGTGTGTAATTGCGCAACATTTCGTTATTTGGTTTCACTGTGAGTATTTGCACCACATTTCTGTTTCATTGTGAGTATTTGCTGTGCGTTTCTGTTTTTGGTTGCATTGTGAGTACTTGCAACACGTTTCTGTATTTGGTTGAGTTGTGAGTATTTTTAGCACATTTCTGTATTTAATTGCATTATAATTTTTGCAGCGTCTTTCTGTGTTTGGCTGCATTGTGAGTATTTGCCTTGTGTTTCTGTATTTGGTTGCATTGTGTGTATTTGAGGCACATTTCTGTATTTGTTTGCATTGTGTGTATTTGCAGCAAGTTTCTGTTTTTGTTGCATTGAGTACTTGCAACACATTTCTCTATTTGGTTTCATTGTGTATATTTGCTGTGCGTTTCTGTATTTGGTTGCATTGTGTGTATTTGCGGCACAATTCTGTATTTGGTTGCTTTCTGTGTATTTGCGGCACATTTCTGTATTTGGTTTCACTGTGAATATTTGCGTATTTGCATCACATTTCTGTATTTGGTTCCATTGTGAGTATTTGAGACACATTTCTGTATTTAGTATCATTGTGTGTATTTGCAGCAAGTTTCTGTTTTTGGTTTCATTGTGTGAGTTTGCGGCACATTTCTGTATTTTGTTCCATTGTGAGTATTTGCTGTGCATTTCTGTATTTGGTTTCATTGTGAGTATTTGCAACACATTTCTGTATTTTTTTCATTGTGTGTATTTGCGTCACATTTCTGTATTTGGCTGCATTGTGTGTAATTGCGGCACATTTCTCTATTCGGTTTCATTGTGAATATTTGCTGTGCGTTTCTGTATTAGGTTTCATTGTGTGTATTTGCGGCACATTTCTGCATTTTGTTCCATTATGAGTATTTGCTCTTCATTTCTGTATTTGGTTTCATTATGAGTATTTGCGACACATTTCTGCATTTTGTTTCATTGTGTGTATTTGTTGTGCGTTTCTGTATTTGGTTGCATTATGTGTATTTGCGGCACATTTCTGTATTTGGTTGTATTGTGTGTATTTGCGGCACATTTCTGTATTTGTTTTCATTGTGTATTTGCGGCACATTTCTGTATTTGGTTGCATTGTGTGTATTTGCAGCAAGTTCCTGTTTTTGGTTGCATTGTGAGTACTTGCAACACCGTTTCTGTATTTGGTTGAGTTGTGAGTATTTTCAGCACATTCTGCATTTGATGGCGTTGTGATTTTTTGCAGTGCCATTCTGTGTTTGGTTGCATTGTGAGTATTAGCGGCACATTTCTGTATTTAGTTTCATTGTGTGTATTTGCTGTTCGTTTCTGTATTTGGTTGCATTGTGTGTATTTGCAGCAACTTTCTGTTTTTGGTTTCATTGAGAGTATTTGCAACGTGTTTCTGTATTTGGTCCTGTTGTGTGTATTTACAGCACATGTGTTGTCAAATTGATGAAATGTTTTCTTAATTTCCTGGTGTTTATTTACAGTGTGTTTTCTTCAGTTAAAGTGTGGTGAGCTCTCTCGGCCTCCCAACATTGACTCACTGAATGAGATTATTTACATTAGAACTGTATAAAAAAACAAAAACAATTTTCTGTTCAATCTGTTCACTGGTTGTAAAACTATTCTTATACAAATTACATTGAATGCAAATATTTATACGTAGTAAACTCTTCCTAAGCAAACTGTATCGCATTGTCCCACTGAATAGTATGCGACTATTTAAGAATGATTTTTACGAACAATTTTCAGAGAAATTAATTCTGCTCGAGTTTCACGAACAAGGCTCAATAGCATTTCAAGCAACCTTTCTTTTTTGTTTTTTAATTATAATCCAATTATAAATTTGTATAATTCATTTTCACAACAGCTAAGCGGCGTGGCTTAAAACCTGTCTGATCTGCACATTTAGCATCATTCTTGGTGCTCGGGGGTCAATAACAAAAGAGACCTATGACGCATCACACTACAGTGACCTATATAAGTCTATGATTGCCGACTCTTGCATGGGAGCCAATTATGATTCCCTGCATTGTTTCATTTACAGCTCAGTTAGATGTCGGCACTATGTTAAGGCGCTGAAGGGAAAGCATATGGGCTCCATAAAGCAGAGCGGAACTTCACACAGATGATTCGTTGCAAATGGAGGAATCTCTTTAGAAATGTAGCACACAGAATATAAGCTATTATCACAGAACATGACAGTAATCCTGGTGAAATATTCGATGTGTAAAATCAAATACCGCTATCACATTTCAGATACATAAAGGCTTTCTTCAAGAAGGAATGCTCTAAAATAATGCATAAATTACTGATTTATAGTAAAATATTGCAACTAATGCAATGTTTGACTAAATTGCTCTGCAATGCTGTCATTTCAAAGACATAAGGGTGTTTTGTCTCTGTAATAACAAAGTGAAATATTAATCAAAATAAAGCTCCACAAAGGCTGATTTTCAATCGTTCGACTTCTCAGACTCTTAATGAGATGGGGCCGACTGTCAAAAAGAACGACCCATATTTGAGCTTGTGTTTTAAAGCAAATGTGAAGAAAATTAAAGTGCCGAGACTGAGGGCATTCTATTTAAAAAAAGAAAGCATGAAAACAGTGGTAATTCCATGTAGATTTGCAGACAATGTGCTCAATTGAGGCAGTGCTTTGAAGGCTAAGAGTTTCACAGACTTGACTTCGAGCATGTGTGTATTTTTTTCTAGCGGCGAAAAGACAGTTTGTGCACAACTGCTAAAACATCAATAATGTATCTTCGCTCTGTGGGTCTACAAAAACCAATTACTCTCTGCCTTGCCAACAAAGATGGCCACATTTGACAAACAGAGAGCACACTTTGTTTTCTTCAACGCCACTCACGTAACCGGGAGGCACATTTCAGGAGTTTAGAGGGTCTGAGAAGACCACGAAGGCCCTGAGATTTCAAAGAGACCGTCCAGGCTTTTTAACATCTGACATTTCAGCAATGCAGACAGGCCCACCTTTCCCTGCACCTGTTTTTCCCTTTCTTTCAGCCTTTCTTTCTCTTGAAATGGCTTTGACTGAAAAACAAAAATAGGCTACTTCTTAGGTTTAACTGAAATATTCTTAAAGTCTACAAAAAAATAAAATAAAAATACTTTGTTAAAAAAAATGTTTGAAAATAAAAAAAATTGATGATCGTCATTTTAGAGTCATCAAAACTTGTTGAAAATAGTATAAAAAAGGTAAAAATAATAATTTTTAAATGTGGACTTAGTCACTGACATTAGCAACAAATAAAAATGCATAAATATTTATAAACGCATTGTGACGATCTGCGGCTGGAGTGCCCGCTTGAGCCCCTGGGGGGCACTCCTTCCTAGTTTATTGTTTCATTCATGTTTTACCCTGGACTGATTATGGTTTATTTGTTGCACCTGTTTTAGATTGAGCTCCCTGATTTAAGCCTGAGTTTTCCCTTTGTTCGGTGCTCAGTATTGTATGTGTCCGACTGCATTACCTAGCCTTGTTCCAGTTCCCTGTTTATCTGCCTGTTCCCGGTTTCCCGTTTGCCTTATCCCTGCATGGATTTGATGTTTGTTTGGACTGCTTACCTGGTTTTGACCCCTGCCTGTTTTCTTGTACCTGTCTCTGGATTCTCCTCCTAATAAAGTCTGCGTTTGGATCACCTCTGTCCCTGTCCCATGTGCAGTTTCATGACACGCATACTTATAAAATAAATAAATTATGTATCAAGATGGTACATGGTGTTGATAAAGTGATGATAAGGTGATATTCCGTGCAGAGCTTGAAGAGAAGAGTGGTAGACTTACAGGTTTATATCTCAGGGCGTCCCGATAGGAGCCAAACAATGCAGCCTGAGCATGCAGAAAGGCCCGAGCCACCCCACTGCCTGTAGCGGTCGACTGCTTTTTCAGCTTACTCTTCAAACTGGAGACCTAAAAGAAGGAAAGAGAGGGATAGAGTTAAATTAACACCTCTGAAATAGGTGGAGAAACAGGCAAACCCATTCAGAGTGTGAAGTGTCACATTTACAGGTCACCCCCCGCCCTAAAAACCAAAGAAAGAAATAAAGAAAAAGCCTTCTATCTCTCAAGAGCACCTGCTGCTCTGTTAATTGAAGCAATGGTGCCGTGTGCAGGGGTGGGGCCAGACAGCAAAATGACTTTGGCAGAGAATCTTGGTCTCTCTTATCCTTTTTCTTCTTTACTAGCTACTTCCTAAATCTCTCGACATACATATACTTTCATTATATGATTTACAATGATCTGCTACTGGTCTGCTTTTAGTTCCTTATTGTCCAGTCTGATACTGGTGAAAATCAACATTAAATGTGTTTGCTTATTTTTGCTGGGCTTAAAAAAATGTAAAGTTGGGAGAAAATAGTGCCAATAAAAGAGCGAAATTCTTCTTTAAAAAAAGAGAGAGAAGTTCTGCTTTAAATAGAAATATGCGGTGTAACCAGTGTTGGGGAAACTTACTTTTAATAATACTGTTGTTTAACATTTAATGACCGCAGATAATATAATATTCATAATATTCTGAGAAATATATGTTTCTGCAATATTTGTATTTGTTTTGTGTAAGTGAAATGAGTAAATGCTTGTTTACAATTAGTTTAGCTTAACTACAATAAGCATTACATTCACACACACACACACACTCCACACATACTCCAACATAGTCCACACTTACACCCCATTTCTTTCAATGTAGGGACAGGACAGATGTAAAAAAAAAAATGGATGACAAAGTAAGTTGCATTACTTATTTGAAAATGTGTAAATTTAAAGGTAATGGGTTACTCTCTGCGTTATTTGGGAAAAGAAATCTGATTACGTAACTCAAGGTGCAACACCACCACCTCTGGGTGTGACAAACATGCAGAAAACATTTTGTTGTCATGTGACATATGAAATTAGAGAAAGCGAAGGTTAGTTAATAAAAATGTGATCTTATTTGTAATTGAGCCCATAACCCAAAATAAATTATAAATGCACACTTATTAAAAAACAATTATTATAACCAATGAAGTATTTGAATTGCATGTCCCCACCAGATTTTTCCCCATACTCCTAGCCTTCTGTATCAAAGCATCCAAGCCTGTCATGAGACACAGCGGTGCACGAACACATGGGGATGAACCATGAAGCGGTGCTTGATCCAGGTAATCTAAGGTTAAGCAAATTGATTACATATTCTGTGGCGCTCATAACCATCTGCTGGCAATTCATTTGTATGCCTGAAATTGACACTGAGCAGCGTGCATGTCAATAATCAGTTTAGATTGCTTCATTAGGGAAGATCAAGCAAGGACCATAAACGAGAGCATTTAGGCAGTCCACAGAATACCAAGAGGCAGTTCAGTTTAGGAACGCAGCAAAAGCACTTGGGTGAATCGCCACTAACCCTTTTGAATGAGGAAAGAGGTTTTGTTGCAGATGCTCGCAAAATGTGCCATTCTTCATATCGAACAAGTTTAATTTTTGTTGTCTTTTGTTCTATTTGTCCCTATTGGGATGCATCTCTTCTTCACAGAGTCCCTGAGCTGATATGGTGAATACTCAGAAGCATCAAACTGGAAGTTTAGCGGCGCTAAATTAACAAGTGTCATCTCCATATTCACACTGGCTAAGTGCTTTTATGTTTATGTAAAGTTAGTGCCATATTAATATTTCATGTTGATGCGTTGTCTTTTTTTTCCCTCACTTCTCTCGCTCTCCCCAAACAATCCGTTAAACAGTCTTCATTTTTGAAGAATCAAAGAAACCAAAATGCCACTCACACTCAGGAGAATGTTCACCATACCCAGTGGGCAAATAAGAGGAGATTAAACAAAAGGTTGTGCACAAGAATGTCTTCAATATTTCTAAATTAAATTCAAATGTATACCTAATGAAATAAATTCTATTATTTACAATTACATGACCCCCCCCCCCCCCCAACCCCCACCCCAATTTCCATTGACAAGACCAAAGTGATCTGTGTGTTTTGTCGTTGTGAACTGAGCTATCATCGCTGCACGTCCAGTCTGAAATACCGCTTGATGGCCAAGCACGCGTGCACGCACACACACACACAGCTGATGCAAATTCTCCGCCCCCTCGTCAATATCAAGACTTCATCACCTATTTCTTTCACCCTTTTATTGATGGACAGTGTTACATTGTATGAGAGATTATTTGCTCCAAGTGAGAATGTTAGTGTGAAATTGAACAGTATTGCCAATGTTGTTTTCAATAAAAAAACATTTGCACAAAGCAAGCCGATCCACTTTACCATGTTGATAAGAGCATTATAATGAGAAAAAAAAAATAATGGGACAAAAAGAAAACAAGAGACATTTAGAATATATAAAAATGTGGGATTACTCACGAGTTAACAAGGACATTAATGTGATTAATCGCGATTAAATATTTTAATCGTTTGACAGCACTAATATATATTATCTATTTTAGACAAGCCTGAATGATGACACAATTAACTACAATGCATTTTTTCCTCGATTCATATATCACGTTCACAGATAATGCTGGTGATACACTTCAATTTAATAAGTGGCGGCACAAGTGTGGCCAATAATTGATCAGTTAGACTAATTAACTTCTATACTTTGAGTAACGTTAACGAGATGTGAGCGGGTGGGGCATCAGAGGGGAGCTTAGCTCTACAGGTGATAAACCTATTTGGCAGTGACATTTTTTAGTGTAAAGCCATTCAGTCTATAATCTGATCAAAGGGAGAGTCCCCCATTGGGTCCAATTATAACTATGGTATTGTAAGAGGGGGGTAGCGGGGGGAGGGGGTTGGGTTGGGAGATGACTTATGTTGAGTTATGATATTCATAATCTATGCAGAGAGGCCTTTCCACTATAGGTCTTCTCCCCAAAGCTGTGATCTTTTCAATTTACATCAAGCGAGGATGGCTGAGGATGAAAGTGCAGCCTCCGACTCGCTGAGCCCGTCGAGGGCAAACACAGGGCCTCATTAAACTCTACTGCATGGACTCCCCAACAGGGTTTGAAGTGCGTCAAGTAAAGAGCACGGGGTCAGAGGTGGCCCTGAAAACAGATCTCCATTTAACTCACCAGCTGGAGATGATAATTAGCAGGTGCATCACTGTCTCCTGCTCTAAAGGATGATACCATGGAGATCTGCTCTGCGATGGGCTTCTATTATACACCGCAAGTTTCAACAGAACACCACTTCTGAGACGCTTTTGCGCGTGTGCGCACGCACACACACGCCGGTCTCTCCTCGAGAGCTGAGCTGTTTATGGTCAAGGGATTTTAATTCATTGAACTGGACAAGCCGCAGACAGGCGCTACACACAGCCATGTCCTCACACATATATTTTACACTTTTTCCAGGTTTATAAATGGAGATCTGATGGATTTTACAACCAGACTGGATATTTAGAGATTTCTTTTATATATATTATATATTAAATAAGCCTGTATGATGATACAAATAATTTTTAAATGATAAATATAAGTTAAAATAAAGGAGTAAAAAAAATAAATGACCATTTACAAAGTTAATCTAGACATCTCATAATATTGTCAGGTTACATTGTGACCGTTTTGGCGTATGGCTGAAAGACTTTTTTTTTTTTTTTTTAAATGTGTTTTGTTAAGGATTCTGTCCAGGGATGGAAAGCCGTTGGGAGGCAATTAGAGGACTACAAAGAAAAAAGAAATAGATATGAAAATCTTCTGCTTTCTTTTGATGTGCAATAGGCTGAAAAGTAAAATCTACACGCAGACTGAATTCACATCCTTTCAGAAAAAACACAAAGACAAAGTGTATTTCAACCGTAAAGCTAAAGGAAACGCAGGTCAATGTATTGTTCTTAACACAGCATACATTAAGTAAAAGAATAATATGTTAATTATTTAAATAAAATTATATAACTTAATATAAAAATCATACAGCTATTTTCAAACAAATAAACAATGCTGGCAAAGTTTACATTCGTACTTAATACACTGCATACATTTAAAATAAATAAATAAAGAGTATAACTTAAATGTAAAACTAATAAAACAGAAATTATCAAACAAAAAAAATGTTTAAATTTCTAACAAAACGCAAGGTTTGTGTCTTTTTTCTTAAAACGCAGCGTACATTTAAAATAAATAAATCAAACAATAAATAAATAAATCTTAATATAACTTCAAATAAAATAAAATCTTCATCTTTTTTTCATATTTATCAGACAGTTAAAAATAAATAAATAAGTACCGAACTGAAAGAAACACCAATACAAATGACCACTCAATAACATTCACTAGTTAGCATTCACAAAGCAAATTACTCCATCAATCACTGCTAGTGTATATGCTAACATAAGCATGCTGAATGCGCAAGTTATTCGATTTTGGCCTGTGGAAGATGTAACGCAAGTTTGTAAAAAAAAACTAAAATATGCATTCAAACACTAAAAAAGACTAGAAATATTTCAATGCAAATGTGAAAGTAAACCTCTGGTTTTTAAGACATCTGCATTTGATTTTAGTCTGACGCTCAAGCAACAAGAGCCAATCAAGTGCAGTTATTGTTCATCAACAGACCAATAATGGTGGTGCCTTGAGGGCTGGACACTGCATTAGTCCACTCGGGGCGGAAATGAGCCCCACCTGGTCTGCCCCGTCCCACACACTACGGCACGAAGAACTGATCCTTTAAGAGGGTCCTGAATGGGCTTGATTTGCGATGCCCTGAAATAGAACGAGCGCTGAAGAACGCAACATTCCCACTTTCCCCAAACAGTAATTGTTTGGTGTGTCAGCTGATGTAGTGCTTGTTTTTGTTTTCTCTCGAATCCAAATTAAACACCATACCGGGTGATCTCAGAGGAGGCGCGCGGATATTGCACTCCCTCTGATTAATTTGTTAACCTTCATTTGGTAGCTTAATATACACGAGGTGGGTGTGCAAACCTGAATTTTTGCTGTTGATTGAGAACGTAAACGATCAAAAGCAGGAAGTACAAATATAAGTTGTGTGGAAGAGACGAAAAGGGAGACAACCGGTATGACACGAGCAGCAAAGACAGAAAAACTGGAAAAGTAAACAATAGATCTGGCGTAACTTGAACAAAAGTAATAAAGTCAAAAGGAATATTTTATCAAAACAGTCTCAGGATTGATGCAGGACCTGTGAGCAGAGCGAATCGCATCCAAATAAGATTGCAGCGCTGTTTTGTAGCACAATGGATTCATAATTTTCTATTTTTAGATCGTTTTAATGACTGCACAAGCAAACACCCCCCATATCCCGCTACCAAATCCAATTATAATTGAATAAAATAAAAAAGCAACAGTTTCACAATGTTTAAGAAGGAAAACACCTTCATTTATTTTTGAGAGAGCAAACTCTCCTTTTAACATAATTTATTTTCTTTCTTTTTCCTTATGCAAAATCTACAACCACCCATCATTAAAATCTCCTAAATATTTATAAATTCAGTTCTTGATGGAACTAGAAAAACTTTAGCGACAAACACGTTCTAAAACAAAGAAAGCACGAAGAGTTGCACTAAAAAGACATCCAAGTGATCTTTATTTTAATGTTTATAAGTCACGGTACACTCACTTTAGACATTTTAAGCTCATTTTCACACATGGTACAAAATAAAAAGCAGCGCTAAATTTGTTTTGAACCCTCGTGCGACACTTTCGAAAAGTGTGGTGATTAAAACTGCAACCCAAAAAACACAATCCGTGGACTTTCAACCTCGTCCCATCTGATGTTTCCAATAAAAAGGCATGTTTGAAATCATTCTCAAGCGTCCGCCACATCCTTTCTGAGCCGCTGCAATTATTATCTCTATTTGTAAAATCCGTCGGTTTGTGCAGAACGGAATCGCTACTGGCGTGGTAGCATTTCTAATAGTCAATAAATCTAAAATATTATGTGTGAAATTGGGAAAAACTGCCATTAAGTGACAGACAGCGGTGAGCACAGCATAGGGTCCCGTCTGAAAAAAGGGCCAGGTAATTCAGGACAACTGTCACCCCTGACCCGTCTGAGAGCGGCTCTAGTGGTCAGACTCTCCGAATAATAAAGCCCACATGGTAAAAAAAAAAAAAAAAAAAAAGCCTTCAAACACTTAATTAGATGAATCTCAAAAGGTTCGGCTTAAATCAATAAAAGACTTGCGAGGAAAGAAAAGAAAAAAAGAAACGCTCCAGGGTAAGTTATATTCTATTTTGCTTTATAGTTGTAAAATGCATTGATTTTTTTTAGAGGCCAGAAATGCTAAAATCTCTGAATAAATGTGTATTTAAATAATGAAAGTAAAACAGAGAATCAAATTAATTGATTCAATTAAATTCCATCGATTGGCCCTTTTCAGAAACCAAATTGCGAGGCACTATTTAAGATGGGGGGGAAGGGGATAAACCCAGAGCGTTTGCTCAATTTAAACGTATTCCTTGAGTTATGAATTTTAATATCCCCAAAGGTATGATAACCAGAGGAAAAGAAAAATGAATTTTTTGCAGTGATAAATATATTATTGTAGGTGACATTTACATTCAGGTGGGGTAATTTAACATGATATGCAGAATACGCTCTATCATTAGTCAATGAAAAATTGCGTGAGAGGATCAAAGCAAACATGAAGCTGCCACTTAATTTATCACGCTACGAAGACAAAGAGGTTTTTTCTTTCCCCTCCGTCAGTTTCAAAAGACCCGACTCTTTTTTCTTCCTTTTTTATACGACGCTCTCGGTTTGCAATTTAATTTACAAATGGGATGCCAGTGCTGAGATGGCATAACAGAACAGGCTGGCTTTTTCTGCTTGGACAGACAGCAGCGGGATCCACCGAGTCATATAGGAGTGTTAAAACACACCCCCCAGCGGGAGAGAAAAAGAGAACGCGAGAAGAGAAGAGAAAAAAAAACAAACACGTTTCTTTATGTTCAGAAGGACAGATGACAGACGTGTTTCTGACCCTGACGCTGGATGCACTTCCCTGTTGCACTGACCGCGCCACCTGAACATTAATTAAAGAGAGAAAGCGCTGGCAGGTGGCAGAAAAGCAGGATCTAATAATTGGCCCCCTTCTTCCCCACGCCTTCAGAAAATCCAGGACTTCTAGCAAGATGTGCCACTGGGCAGAGAGAAAGGGGAAGAGAAAAAAAAAAAAAAAAGACATGAAGGCAGGAGTTTGAAATTCAGAGATGGCTGGCGAATTGCGATGGACGTTTAACGTCACAGGGCAAGTTTGCAGAGAGCGCTTTTTGGGGATTCACGGCTGCATCTGCTAATGATGAGGACAGAGGTGCGGTGTGTTCCTCTCACCAGAAAGAAACTGTTTGTTTAAATGTGAAAAGTAGAATGGGAGAAAATGGCAATCGCATTTGTGTGTGTGTTTGTGAATTTGAAACAGTGTGCTTAGAACAAAAGACAACGGTAGTGTATGTGTGTGTGTGTGTGTGTGTGTGTATGTTGGTTTACTTTTAAGGGACAACATTGCCCTCAGAACTTAGTAAATTTAGAGGAAAGTTACCCTTTAGAGATATCCTCAAAAGTAAAAATAATTATTCATATAATATATACATGTATTAAACACACACACACACCTTTAGACAAATCCCACTTTTAGGGACATTATTTGAAACAAGGATTCAAAAATAAAGAAAATATTATTTTTTAATTCTAAAATTACAAATAATTTTTGGAAGCTTTAAGGTTAGTCTGTAAAAATTATAAACATGTATGAAGAGTTCAGATGCAAAAGCCTCTAAAATGCCATTTGAAATTTTCTTCTAGAATGATCATTTTTATCAAGCTTGTATATTTTAGTTAATTACTTTTACTTAAATGGCAATGAAGATTACCTATAAATTGTCATTTAAGTGAAATTACTGAACTTAAATATACAAGTTTGATAAAAATGATCATTCTAGAAGAAAAAATTTCAAATGGCATTTAGAGGCTTTTGCATCTGAACTCTTCGTATATATAAGTCTATGGTGAGTCCTCATTTAAATTTCAAGGTAAACGCGTGTGTTGTTGTGGGACACTCACCACGTCACTGGGAAGCTTGTGCAGATCGTCTGTGGGGGTTTCCAGGGTGTTTGTGTCCACGTTCAGAATGACCACATCCTCCAGGGATCTGCCCTTTACTCTCTTTGGAAAAGCAACACACTGTTACACACCGTCCTGACTATTCCCATTTCCTGTGACTGTTTTAATGACTTTAAAATGTGAAAAATAAAAAGTAGTTTATTTAAAGAATTTGTATAAACTTTTTGTGAATGGTTAACAAATTGTAAACATATTTTCACAGTACCAATTTCCAGACTACTGAAGATTCTCTATTTAGAGAACATAACATATTTTTTTTATTCAAAGATGTCAAAACCTCCACATAAAGACTAAAGCAGGAAAGATTTAAATAGATTAAATTAACACTGGATTCTCATAAATGAAACCACTTTTAAGCTTTTAAATTATGTTCTTAAAAACATGTATGCACCAACAAAGACTCACAAAATCATTCTTGGTTGAGAGTCAAAATGTTTGAATCAATAACACAAATTAAATAGAATCATTTAGTACAACTGGAACATTGTTTGTGAATGAATGACACATTAAAAAAAAGTTAAAGCAGTTGAAACAAATGTTAAAAATACATTTTATATACATTTGCAACTATTTTCAACTAATAATATATAACACCTTTCAAATAATAAAACTATTCAGGCATGTTGAATGAAGCACCGTGTTGAGCGGCGTAATGCTTCCACACAATGGTAGTCACGGTAGTGGCGACAAATCCAATAATTATTCCTCCAGTGCAGGTGGGGGAAACAGCCAAGTGTGTAAAAAATTTCTGGTTTGTCATTTTTGACAGTCGCTGCTACGGCGGCCCATGTGCTGATTTGGTCTAATTACGTGCAGCCGGATTGGGGAGGGAGGGTTGGAGGGGGGGGGGACTGTCAGCGGGCGAACGTGTGATAAACACCAGCACTGGCGCGACTGTCAGCGCTATCAGATCTGCGCGTGAAGCTATAGGTCTACCTCCAACCAACATGCCATTTCTCAATAACCGAACGCACCATCTCTTTGTTTCTCCGCCGTTTCACCGGCTCTTTCATTTCTCATGGGCGCCCCGGGAGATGAAAAGCAAAAAAACAATGTGTCAAATTTTGTAGGTTTCTCGGCGCTCGGTGATGATGCATCAAAGTAGATGGGCGTTATTAGCATCTCAGATGGTTGGAATCCAGAAGAGCGGTTAGTTTTAAATGACCCGGAGTGAAAAAAAAGTAAATAATGATGGTTTATGTAATATTGACTGGTGTGCTTCTGATCAAACTTCACGTGAAAACAACTTTAAGGATGATGAACGGCTGCTGACGGAAGATTTATGTGACGTACCTCTAAAAGGCTGAGATGAACTCCGACCAGATATGGCATGGGCGCACTGGGAATAGAGACAAAACACAGTCATTAGCAACATGAAAACAGCTTTATTGCATTTTAAAAATAGTCATAATTCAAGAAAATCGCTGTTTTCTTTCCAACAAGATGCAGATACAACGTAAAAATATTCAAAACACAGCCGTACATTTCACAGAACAAATATAACAACCAGGCCAACGATTTCAAACGAAATAATAATAAACGAGGACCACCGTACATTGACATATCTTTGACGCAGCATGCATCAGGAGCTAAACTTTAATGGCATCCTCGGCCGTTTCCCGGAACGAGCGTGTTTGAGCAGTGAAGGTGATTAGTGTAATTGGCGAGCGTCACTTTTGAGTCTCGGTGCAGAGCGGGGCGAGGCAGGGCCGTGTAATTAGATAGGTTTGGGTAGCCGCTACAGTGCTCGCTCAATCAGGTTATGTGGCTAATAAGCTGCAGTCTCCCTCACTGCATCTGTTAAGGCCATAGATTTAACTGACAAGCAGGCATGCTGACACGCAGACACGCACGCACATGCACGGGGTGAGCCCTGTCACGTCATTGTTGTCCGTGAGTGTAACTTTGTTATGACAGCCTAATTCCCATCATTTCTAATAGCGTTCATTATGAGCGATTGCACAGCCTTATAATATGATAATGCTCTTTTTTTTTGTATAATTAGATCGCTAAAATATGATAAATCACCTCGGATGTCGGTCCTGGAGTGGAAAACGGTGCTACTCTTAAAGCTAGATTTATATCAATGTTGTATTATTCGACCACAAATAGTTTCTAGTGTCAAGCATGGCAGCACAAGTCTGTCAATTTAAGGGTATAGGGTGTTCTATTAGCTATACAGCAGGGCTGTAAGTTAAGAGTGCGGTCACGGTTTCAGACCACAGTTGGCAAACGGAAATCAGTCTGCCTCTCAACCCGTGTATATATATATATATATATATATACTATATATATGTTTCTGATGGGTAAAAAAAATTAGATTGCATGCTGGAGTTGTCGTGGTGGCATAATAAATCATGTCCTTGATAAACCCTTTGAGATCCCAGATATGGTGAGGGGTATTTCAGAAGCAAGTATTGCATGTTGTGAAACTATATTTTACTGATGGAGCGATAGAATATATCAGCAGGTCAATTAATTTAAGTTTGGACAAATTTGGAGACTGTACCTGATTGGCCGATTAAAATAACTCTGACCTATTCAAATTAAGTTCATTTTCAAGTGAAACATTGTTTAAATGAAAATTATAAAAAAATCTATTTTGTAGACCGACCGACCGAAAGACCGACAGACAGACAGGCCGAAAGACCCACAGCCAGATAGATAGCCAGATAGATAGCCAGACAAACAGATAGATAGTCAAAGCCAGACAGACAGACAGACAGATAGTCACAGACAAACATAAAGACACATAGATAGATAGACAGACAGACAGTCACAGACAGATAGGCAGACACACACAGACAGACAGACAGATAGTCACAGACAGACAGTCACATACATTCAGACAGACAGACAGAAAGTCAGACAGACACAGACAGACATAGTCACAGAAAGACAGCCACGGACAGTCACAGACAGACAGACAGACAGTCACATACATACAGACAGACAGACATAGTCACAGACAGACAGTCACATACATTCAGACAGACACAGTCACAGACAGACTGACAGTCACATACATACAGACAGACAGACAGTCACATACATACAGACAGACAGACAGACAGACAGTCACAGACAGACAGTCACATACATTCAGACAGACAGTCACAGACGGACAGACAGTCAGACTGACAGGCAGACAGACAGAGAGTCACAGACAGACTGGCTATATCTGTCATTAGGGCGCCTCTTGGGCAGAAAGAAACAAAAAAATGTTCACAGACCTGACTGCCAAATGTTCCTGCTGCCTACTGGATGCTCATTATTAAATATTTTGGCTTAAGTTGGTAATGGTTTCGACACAGAATGCAGTAATATCAGCTTCCAGTGCAATCCACAGAATTGCACAGATTTTCCCCAATCAGTTCACAAAAGTTGGATTCCATGTGTGCTGTCAAGATTTGCTTATGATGTACACTTCAATGTAAAAGCTGTACAAATTCCCTCAAAAAGGCCTAAAGCATAAAAATCATACAGCTCTTCAGCTCAAAAAGCGACAGCCCAAGCTTGAGTGATATATAAATGAGAGAGACATTTGTGTGTTTAAGTGTGCAGATGAGCTCTTACCAGCAATAATCCAGCAGGTGAGGAGGAAGTACAGGAATGAAGATGTGCTGCCAGTGCATAGGGTAGAGCATGGCGGTGGACCCTTGCACGCATGCAGTTAACTACGACAAGAAAAGAAAAAAAAGGACGTGAGCTTCTTAATGTGACTGGCTCATCAATGAATTTCCCATCACACTACAGGGGATTGCGTTTATTGCAGGCTGTAAAGTTATTCTTTTTATCCAAACATCACAAGCTGATTAAATGTGCTTTTTTTTGGTTTTCTGATGTTAACAGCACCGGTTCAAATCCAAAACTGGGGCATCAATCAAGGGACTAAAAATACACACACGGTGTCAAATGTGTATCGTCTTCAGGACCGATAGAAAATTAATGATGCTTTATTACTGTTATACACACGCACACAGTACAGTATACAATCTGACTCTACGAGAAGCAAACGCTTAATTATGTCGCTGGTGTGGATGTTTAATGAGTGAACACCCAAGTGACCCCCTACCACACCCTGATTCCCCCTCACAGCTACCTAGCAGTTGTAATGACCTGTGTGGCACACGCCAGAGCTTCCTCATCTTCCAGATTAAAATAACATGATTAAATATGGAAAAAGAACAGAGGTCTGAAGGCTCCTCTGGGACTTCATTAGGGCAAATTGCCAAAGAATGAAACATGAGTTAGCCAAGAGAGACTGTGAGCTGTTAGAATACCACGGGGAGTAGGGGCTGGAAGAAGGGGTCTTGACAATTGGAGCTTCCAGTAATGTGTGTGAACCATGCCTCCGAAGTATCAAGAGACCCCCCTGCTCACTGACACACAATATCACAATTGACCACTGAAACCAACCAAGCTTGGCGGTGGCACAACAGCTCGTTTCAAAGAGATCAGTTTAAATCCTGAATCCCGTCTATATTCAACTGTGCGCGAGGTGTAAGGCTGGTTGCGTGTTGTTGTTGTTGTTGTTGTGCATTGAATTCTGTGACATTGTGTTCGAACGCAACCGCTCCAGATAAGACGTGACCTATCGAGTCAAGAGATAGTACAGCTTTAATTAACAGTAATTTAGTGCCATGCATTATAACATATGCAAATTTGTTGTGCAGTACTCTGAAAAGAACGAAAAGGCTTTAGTGGTGACAGATCTAATTTTGTTCAGGCAATTTAGAAGAAAGAAATGAATATTTATGGCATTTTTCACCAATTGAAGTTTGCTTGATATCAAAGCTTTGAGACCCGTTCTGTTCGAGATCCTTTTTCTCAAGGTCCAATAAATGAATCATGCTGAGAGGTCATTGCACTGCAAAGAAACACTTTTCTTTGACTGCGAACAGACTGCCATCTAGTTTCTTAGAGGGGAACCCTTCCGTACCATGCAGAGATGGGTAAGAAAGCCTAATGGCGTATTCCAATTAATTCAACAATGTCCACAGACAAGCCCAATTGGCTTGATTTATTCTCGACTTGAAAGTAAAGCCGTGCCGTCTTCTTTCAAAGACGAGGGCACAAAAAGGAGGTGGAAAAACCTAGATAAACATTAAAAGGTGGAATTCAAAAACAAATTAACTCTTGATATTTTTCCCACAAAAGTTGTTTTGCTCCCAACCGAGGGATTCATCATAAAGCACGCACAATCCTGCAAGAAAGTCAGTCGTGACCTCCTTTCTGTGACAATTAAAGAGAAAGTTCAGAATAACTGTATCGATGCCACTGAATCTCCAGTTGTACCCACAATGCACTGCTGGAGTGCTGCACCTAATAAAATATTTGGCGGTCTTATGAATAATTAATAAATAAAGAAATGCCAAATAAAAAGAAAGCCAAATGGCCACAAAAGGCAAGGTACGCTTGATATTCCTTTGAATGAAGAAGTCATCCGCAAGAACAAATGCTGGATTACGGCTTGTTTGGATGCGGGGCAGCATCCTGCCGAGACCTGTGAGCTACCGCTGCCGTTAGCGATAATGAGCGTGCTGGGGACGTGTTAAGTGGGGGTCTTCTCTATGGAGACCAACCATAGAGCAGATTATACAAAGGGATCCGGCTTTGGAAATACAATAGACCCCCAAAAAACAATGATGCCATTACAAAGATTTCCAATGTATACATGACACTGTCCGATTTTACATGAAAATGTACAAATATGCAACATCAGCTTTAAATAAAATATATGCCAAAATGAAATGATCACGCACATTACTAGTGATAGGCTGATAGTTCAAGCTGATCATCGAAAGGGTTATCTCCCCATGTCAGATCCAAACTATCGTACATGGTGTGACCCTGTCCTGTGATATTACATAAAAAATCATGACACTCAAGGCTGCACTGATTCGTTCACAAACTCTTTAATTAGCCTGTTTATTAAAAAGATGATGAGGCAAAAGATGAAAGACTAACCATATAACAATTTCTACTGGTAAGTAGCATGCTAGGAGACCTAGAAATAGATCTGTAGCTTTCAGGAAAGGGAATAGAAGGATTTTGCCATCTTTGCTCAGCGAACTCTGGATTTGCCCAATCAGGTGACAGTCACATAACCCTCACTTCACAATCAAACCACATCCACACTCATCTCTAGGAGTACATTTGTACCATTTTGCCTTGCTGAGATATATTCCACAGATGAAGTATAAAGATATGCTTTGTAACACCTTTCCAGTGAACCCTGTCTATGTAAACAAGTTGACGAACATATTCCCTACATCTAGGGAGAAGCTGGGATTCGAAAATATCCATGGCAACTTCTCCAAGAATAGACAAAGACCAAAAAAAAAAAAAGGTCCCGTTCTTTGATAAGCACAACAAAGCTCACAGTGGAATCTGTGATTGGGGCAGACTGGAGACTAGAGGTGCGATTCCCCCTGACAAGGGTGACAGCGCCGCAGTCTGCGCTGACTCCTGCTACCTGCGAGACTTCTCTCCCCTGGCCCTCTCCTTGTTTCCCAATTACCAAGCCTCGCTCTCCTCTCCTGTTGACAAACGCACGGCTCCGAGCGGGGCGCCGACACAGGTGTATCGCTAACAAGGCGGTGGCATTAAAAAAAGAAAAGGTAGAGGTAGGGCGCAGGGCGCCAAACACCACTAATCCACCTCCCACTGCAACACAATATCACAAAGAGGAGAACAGGAAGTGCCGCAGGAAGATAAAATGTCTATTAAAGGTGTGGTAAGAGAGATGCTTGAAGAAGGAATGAAAATAAGACGGCATTGCGGAGTAGAGAGTAAAAAAGCGGAGAGTGTGGGGCCGAAAGGAACCTCAGTGGCTAGCACCACAGGCCAAGACAGGATCGGGTCTTGTTAGCATACCACTGACAGCATGATGAGAAGGCGGCTGTCAAGACTCGGGGCCGGCCGAGGGGGTCTCGCAGATGAAACGCGCCAGGGCCTCCCAGTTGACTAGTTAGAGGGATCCTGATGCAGCACAATTATACTGGCATATGACAAGACTGCATGGGCGGCTGCCTCCCAGAGCCTGCGACATGGTTTTAAAACAGTGGTACTCCTTACCTCTGGTCACAAAACAGCAATAAGTCAACTGATGCATTGTTGTTAGATCATGATTTATTCCTTTGCTTTCCAATACAGGCAAGTGTGCGGCCATGTTCTGCTAGACTGACACAGCAGGTTCACTGGGGGCCCGAACACTCAGGCTCCACTGGCAGCATACATAATGGATTCCTTCTCTTCCTTTATCACGTTGGCTGGCTAGAGAAACTGTAGCGGTAGGCTGACCACACCCTGGACACTGCCATACGCCCTCTCAGAACATTTCAGAAATCGGCCATATGTCTGTATTTGCGTCTATGAAATTTTGCCAAAACTGGTTGTGTGTGTGTGTCTTCCTATAGTTGCTTGGAACTCCCAAAGCTCTAGAGAAGAAGACGGATGGTTTCCGGATTTGAGATGATGAAAGTCTTCGCTGAGGTGGAACCTTAATATCACTAGTCTTCGTAGTAACTCTTTTGGCATATTAGTTTCATAAACTCAAGGTCGCTCATGCTCCCATTCTGCAAAACAGTAAATCTTGTTATGAGATAGTAAAAAAAAACTATTTTCCCAAGAGACTAATGATTTGCACATTCTAACCCCTCGTGTCAGTGAGCACACGGAATGAAGGCGGCAGCCCGGAGGAGTGAAATACTCTGTGGATAGGGTCATTCCGACAGCCTCCTCCGGAGCCAGAGGGTCCAAGGGGAGCCCCTCGGTTCCGGCACTGTCGGCGAGCGCACCGCAGATGCTCTAGGGGGGGAATCGGAGCGAGATAGGGAGCGAATGACATCACTCGCCGCTTCTCCAACTGTCGTGAAGGTTTGGACCATCGTCCGCCCCCATGCGATAAGCGCTCACTCCCTTTTTCAGGCAAGAAGAGCCAGAAAGAAAATATGTGAAAGAGTCAGGGATCCAAATAAGTGATAATTTAAAGCTAACAGACTTGACTGCACATTAGCGCAGAGAAATACCCAAAATGACAAAACGGTGAGATCTGAATCAGTGTACAGGAATTTTTTTAAAACGTTTTAGATAATTTTTTATCTAAAGTTCAAATAATGAGAAACAGGGTCATCTAAATAACTCTTTTATTATGATGTGCATGAGGTAGTTGATGCCCAGCCCTAGATAAGATCTACAGTCTATGATTCAGTATCATGCACCTTGAGAAAGGTTTCAAGTCTTGTGGGGGAAAAAAACATACAACAAATGATCCCATCACACATCATAATTGGAAACGTATATGATAAAACATTTCTTTACATGCAATTGTTCCCAAAAGACCTACTTTAAATTATTGTATAAAAACAACATATATTAATATGTTTTAAGTAAGAAGAAAGCTGTCTGATGTGTAAATGAGAACGACATCAAAAACTCACAGTGCTAAGCTTGCTTGAGGTAATGATGATGCGTCGCTCATGCAGCATGCTGGCGTAGAGGTGCAACATGTTGTTCACATCCACTGCTACAAAGTACTCGGTTAAATTTCTCTAGGAGGAAAAAAAAAAATATGTTGATTAAGACGGATTTGGACAACACATCACACCTAAAAATGAATGAATGTAGTTGCATTAGATATATTTAGGCCTGGTTTCACAGACAGGGGCTTAGGCCACGTCCACACTACTGCGTTCTCGTTTAACCTTCAAATGGTCTTCGTTTCCTGTTTACACTTCTGGGCTTTGGGGTCTATACGACCCCAACAATTGATTGAGTAATTGTACAAAAAATATACATTCATATATAATTTTTTTTGTTTACTTCCCATCTATTCATTAATGCCGTGTTTTTGGAGATACAAAGTACTTTTGTATCCATATACCACAGAATTCCTCAACTGCACCATTAGCTTTAGCATTAGCATATGAAATATTTTTTTTTTTTTTGATACATTGCATTTATGCTCTAGTACTAGGCCTTCATTTCTGTGTAAAAATTTTCAGATTTATGCCGGATTGTTTTGTTTTTTTTTGACGCATGAAGAAAATATATTTAGTTTTTTTTCACATTTCCCATTCAATGTGACCCCGGAGGCCAGAAGTTTAAACATTTTTTTACATATCTTCAGAACAACCGAATCAAACCCAGTTTTTGTGTGTATGTGTATAGATAGATAATGTATGAAAAGTCACAAAATCTTATTCCACTGAGATGAAGGGAACCTTTTTTTTTTGTTAAGTAAAAGTCGATTGGGGTCGTATGTACCCCATGACCCGATTGAGGGCTACAAACAGAGAATTAAAACGAAGACGATCTCCATACACACCAGCGTTTTATCTGCGTATTAGAATTGATTTCCGTACGACTGAAAACGCGGATCACGTGACCATTCACCAACACTGGGCATGCGTGCGCCGGTGTAAACGGTGGCTGACGAATCAGGGAAGGACACGTCATGACTGATGACACCCAATCATAGAGCCGAGCGTGAGCCTCTGCGTCAGCGTTTCTAAAGTCCTCCGTTTTGTCCCGTCTTCACTAAAACGCCCTCCGGAGATTCCAAAACAAAAAACGGAGCTGCAGCATTTCTAAACTTCTCCGTTTTAGGTCTTCACTTTTTCCGTTTTAGTCTGGACGGGAGGTGCAAACGTAGCAAAAGATCTCCTTTTTTAAACAAAAACGCAGTAGAGTGGACGGGGCCTTAGATAAGAATTAAGCCTTCAATTAGAACATTTAAGAAGCTTTCATAAATGTGCATTGGGGACAAAAACTTGAGACAAAACAATGGCACTGACATATTTTAAAAACAGCTTAAACATGAATTTTAGTCTGGGACTACAGTAGGCTTCAGCCTTGTCTGTAAAACCAGGGTTTATTTAATATTTTTTGCTTCGTTTCATGTTTTGGTTTGTTTAATTTTCTGCTTCATGCTTTGCTTCATGATAACTTTTTCTCTTAGTCACTGACATTCATACTGTACATTAAATGTGGCTTTATTTTTGGGGCCTCTGTACTTGTAACTGGGTTAAACATACTCACACTTTCAGGTATGGTGGGGAGTCCATTAATGTCAGGAGCTATGAAGTATGAATGCTGCAGAAAACAGACAAGAAAAGAAGAAGCAAAGGTCACCATTTAGCAACCATCCAGTATTTAGTGTTTATAGACATTTTAACTTACTGTCTGTTCCACAACCAATAAATAAACCACGATTGGCCTGAACTGTGTCTAAGCTTGTTAACATCACACATACAGACAACAGATACGGATACATGAAGTCAACAAACGCCGATCCCCTGTGGACACTACCGGAGGAGGCTCCCCGCATCGGAGAGAATGTCTTTATTAAGGTACAAAAGCCAACTGCTCTGTTCTGACAGTATCAGAGGGGTCTGCAAGGCGTACTTTTGAACAGGCGAGCAAGTTTAATGTCTGGATCAAAGAGGCTCCGAAGCAAAGATCCCACGCTGCCAGCTAACTTTAACACTTTTTGTTTGCATATGTGGAGCGCTCCGCTCTTTCCCAATGCTGGGTCGCAATTCGCTGTGCGTTAAGAGTACCCATCTGTTGCTCAACACACAGGTTCAACTTTTGCTGCCTTCGCTTATGTTCCACAAACAAACGCAAGTGCAACCAGCATCTTCTAATACTAATAAGAAAGATGTAAAATATTTATCTTGGACGCTGTGATCACATGACTCGAGCAATCAAACCAAGTGCTGTGCAATGTCAAAACAATTTATCTGGGCTCTATGTGTGTGTCCAGAGTACTTTTGCTATAATCGTACGAACGTAAACAGTTTAAAGATATCAATAAAGCAGAGTGACCAAGTCTTCTTCATGTGCTGACATGTGTTTATTTTCCCATACCGAGCAGCTGACTGCCCTCCATGTCGTGGACTACAGTTCCAGCTGGCGGTGGCCAACAATTTGCAGCCGTGTTTATAAAAATCACACATTATCAGAGCGCTTGTTATCACCACGCTCTGCCTGCTGCTCCCTGTAGTGTGATCAGAATCCCAGACCCTGCACCCAACACCACTCCTCAGCACACACACACACACATCTGATTGAAACATTACTCCCCACACAGTGCTGATTCAAACCTCTCCTATCACCAAGACCCTCTTCCCAAATTCCAAAAGTTGTCATTCTGCTAATCATTTTAACTTCAGAGATGTTAAAGCAGAACATGGCGGTGATTAGTGAAGACGGTACTGGTAACTCCAAGAAACCCCTTCGGATGACCTGATGGGTTTTTAGATTTGAAGCTAAGGTCAAATTCTTGATAATTGATGCTGAGTAATAGCAAGCTTAATATCTAGTAACATCAACTTATTGTATTTAATATATAGTGTGATAAATGTTTTTTGTGACATATGTATACACAGACATCTGAAGTGTCTAAATAAAGCTTCAAAATGCACATTTCTTTTACATATACAACATTCTAGGAATACAGTCGGAGCATGATATTATAAAGTGTTACAGCTTGAAAAAAATAAAAACAGCATGATGTTTAAATACAATGCTGTTGAGCAGATATTCAAGTGTGTTTTGTATGTAGGCTAATGGGCAGAGCATCAATGGGATTTCTTGAGCATAACTAGTCTTTTGCTTGAAAAATAAATTAAATAAATAAATAAAATGTTTGATATTTGAAAAGAGAATTCAGCAGCATGGAAGAGCATGAATCATTTAGCAAGTTTGATTGTTTTCCAGACAAGAAATCATAAAAAGAACTGACAACAAGACCCAGGATGGGTTTTTGCCATATTTTATAAAAAGAATAGAGATGGATTATTTGGCAAAATTGGAAAGCTGTCTCCCATGTGATTAGACCAACGGCTCCAAATTTCAGAACTGCCCCATTCTCTCTCTCTTTTCATCCCTTTCCCTTCAGCACACTCTCTCCCCACTCACCGACTGTCTGCTTCCTGGATCTTGCACTATTTGCCCATAGGCAAAATGTAAGTGGTTGCTCTTGCAAAAATGAAGGAAAGAATATAGATGGATTAGATGGAGAGATCAAACATATAAACATACATAAAGACAGACAGAGACTGCAAAAAAAAAACCGACATCCAAAATATTGACATATAAAAATTGGATGGATGGACTGACAGACAGAGAGAGAGACAGAGAGACAGACAGACACTGTAGATAGATAGATAGATAGATAGATAGATAGATAGATAGATAGATAGATAGATAGATAGATAGATAGATAGATAGATAGATAGATAGATAGATAGATAGATAGATAGATAGATAGATAGTCATTGAATGGCAGCTGTTTAAGATGGTGTTAACCAATGGCTGCTGCTGGACATGATTTGCAAAAGTGGTCATTAGGTTTAACGCTGTCCCACTTCTGTTTCTAAACAAACCGTTATCCCTCCCCAGTACCTACCACACTCAGATTTACTGGCGTATTCGGCTTTGGCACAGGGTGGTTGTGCAGCGTTTCCAGCATGTCGTTCAAGTCATCTTCCTGTGAGGACAAAAAAAAAAGGCTAATATGAAAAACAAACAAACAAGAAAAACACACTAAATGAGCTTCCAAAAAAAACGCAAACTGCAAAGAGATTCTATGATTTAAGTATTCCTACAGCAGTCTACGGAAGAGAAATATATCCGACTGACACGCATTTAACGAGCGATCCTGAGGTTAAGAGACGGTAAGCTAGGCTGCGGCAGACGCTTATTATTCTGGGGATGATTTATGGCAAACATTGGCTGTTCGTAATTAACCAAAGGTCCTTGCTCAGAGCGGGCGGCTTTAAGAAGCCATTGGAGGAAAGCTTTGCCACAAAACAGGCCTCAGGATTACAACGCCGAGGTTTTACGAGCTTTTACGACAAGAGTGCAATTTACCCTCTCAAACTTGCTGTAGAATAGCGATGCTGCTGCTGTTAAAACAAAGTCTGACATCGAATAGTTACGCACATATTTAGATGTGCCCTTTCCTTGCAAGCAAGTTCCCAGATTAGCTATGTGGCCAGTGCTTGCAGCGTATATGTCCGTGTGTTTGTACATATGCGTGTGCGGGGGTGTGTGAGCTGCTGTCACGAGAGCCTGGATGCTCACACGCATGGTCAGTAACACAGCCTGAGGAAACACTTCATTTACCCTCGCCATAAACCTTCATCGCTCTTGTCCTTCCTCGTCAGTCAACGCTGCCTCACGCGGAACAGAACGCCAAAAGTCAACCCGATCATGCTCGCTTGCTCAAAGAATTCATTAATGCGTCCTAGAGTTTAGCTTTTGTTGGACAGTTTAAGGGAGAAAAGGAGTGAAATGTCGAAATGTAAACGGTTCATAAATTCAACCAATTACTTACAATAGTTTTATTAATGAATTTGACTCATTTGTGACTCAAAAAGACCCATTACGGAAACTGTTGCATTTAATGCACATTTTGGTGTAAACCGTTAGTTAAACTGTTCTTATGTAAATTGTAAAAGTGTAAAAACAATTTTAATTTAAAATGTATGAGAAAATCCTTTATGAAAACATTATTATTACATACATTTATGCATTAACTGCACATTTCTGTGCAAATTAGTGACATTTTTTTTGTATAAATTGCCGCATTTAATGCAAATTTCTGTCTAAATTGTACAGAAAAACAATTTTCACTTAAAATGTGTGTAAATTTTTCAGGAAACCATTCTTACATAAAGTGCTGCATTTACTGCAAATTTCTGAGCTAATTCATTAAAAAAGTTCTTGTATAAATTGTCACATTTAATGCAAATTTCTGTCTAAGTTGAACATAAAACTTATTTAAAATGTATGTGTAAATCTTTCATGGAACCATTCTTACATAAATTGTTGCATTTAGTGGAAATGTCTGTGCAAATCATTCGTTTTCACATAAAATTATCACACACAATGAAAATGTACAATACTTCCTAAAACTATTCTTGCCTTAAATGCCGCATTTAATGCAAATTTCTGCACAAATTGTTCATAAAATCATTTTGAAATAAATTGTTGCACTGATGAACACTATGTGTACTGCTCTTTTTTTGTTTTACTTTTGTTTGTGTTTGCATTATGTGTACTGTGTTTATTTGCATTAAGAACGTATTTGAACAGGAACCATCTTTTTCCCCCAAAAGAAAACATTCTGAATTGCATCCATTCATTCTGTGATCTTTGAAAGTTACAATAAATAAGAAATACCTTATGCCTTCAATTTTAAAAAAGAATGTCCTTTGCATAATGAACAACATGGAATTTAGAGAATGAGGGGAAACTATTTTCTTTGGGTATGAAAAAAAAAGAAAAGATACTTTTGTTAGTGCAATGGGTCGATGTTCTTAATTCCTGACCCCTGTGAGTCCCAGTGTACTTAGCACATGATTTGTTTGTGTTTTGGAGGCTTGGTCTTCTTCACTTCTCTTTCAGCGGCTCCGTTACACATAACTGAATGATAAGAGACTGATAGAGAAACGCTGAGCACTTCAGTAACTCGCTGGCTCCACACAAACTCTGTTTTTCATTTGATGTTGGCTTAATATTTTCATCCCCTTTTCCTAATTCAAACTTTTCTTCGTCTCCTACTGCTGTGAAACTTTCAGAAAGGGAGAAGAAGAAAAAAAAAAACGATTTGGCACAGTGTATTTCCTGACAATTTGTTTTCCCGTATATCATAAGGACTGACTTCCTGTTCGATGCTCGGTCTGTTAAATGTCAACAACACTGCAAAGCAAAGCGCAACCAACCAACTGTGCCTGTTTCGCTGAGATGGATTATAGATGACGTTTTTCTTTCTCCTTTGTCTTTGCAAAAATATAAAAAAAAACACTCAAGTTTTGCTTTGCAGTGGCACTTTTGGCTCACAAGCTGGATGGCAGGAACATGGGTAATTTCGATGCTGTTTGTGACATTAGCAGTTTGCTCAACAGGGGGTCCGGCTAGGCGCAATCAGTGACAAGAAGAAGCGCCCTCATAGAGGAAACTTTTTTTTACAGTTACAAATGTTTACAGTTCAGCATTACTAAACTTTCAGATACTGTTTGATCTGTTTACATTCTGAAATTTTAATGAGAGACTGAAGACGAGCCTTTAATTACCTAAGAGATATATATATGCGTGTGTGTGTATATATATATATATATATATAAATAAATATACACATGTGTGTGTGTGTGTGTGTGTGTGTGTGTATATATATATATATATATATATACATATATACACACACATATGTGGGTGTGTATATCTATATATATATATGCCATTTAATGTGAGTTATGTAAATATTTAATATTTTCCTATTTATACCCCTTACCTTTTTGCTCAAGCCTTCCCTTACCTTATCTAATCTTTGATCAGTTTTAAAAAGTTTGGCAGTTTAATTCAACTGCATTAAATGTGATAATGTGTAAATCAGTTCATTAAACCGTTCTCAAATTATCACATTTAATGTGAATTTCATAAAGTTGCAGTGAAGTATCATTTTTCCCATTTGAAGACAGGCTGACGACTTTGTGTTTTAAATATGCATGAAATGCAAATACATATATTAACTTTTTTAATGAACAATTTTCTAAAAGTTATCAGATTTAATGCAAAAAAAAAAACCATTCCTGCGTATTGTTATAGTGTTGGAGTTGGATATTTCCCTTAACTTACCTGGTGTTTTGATAAGTAGTCTGCAAAGGTATTTAGCAGCTTATAGTAAATCTCAAACCATGGGAGATAGCTGTCAAAAAAAGAAGGAAAAACATCCATTACACAAATATTACAGAATACTATACAAGACAAATCTATAAACACTGCATCACTGTAGCCCCATTCAAAAGGGCGTATCTACTTTTCCGAAATCAGCCGATTCTTCCACACCTTCACTTTTAACCTGGCAGGCTTTACACCATGTCTACACCAGACGCGACAAAGCGACCGTTGCAAATCCATTTGTTGTTCATGTCAGAAGTGCGAGGAGTACAAGTACGTCAGAATTAGAACAGGGAATCAGTTTATTGTCAGGGATTTGTCGCGTCGCGCCACACATCCAGTGTAGACAGCATCAGATTATAATGGGTTCTTAGAACAAAATATGCAAAAAGTGCTACTGGGGTATAAAGTCTGTATCTCGGTTCTCTTTATGATAAAGCATAAGAGCATTTAATAAGAGCACTCAGCATTTAATAATTTAGAACAAATACATAAAAAGCATTTTTTTTTTCCTTTTTTCTTTCTCTTTCCTTTTTTTAGGAAAAAAAATAAAAAGCATTTATTTATTCATATATATATATATATATATATATCCACACACCAATGCATAGCAGCTAAAATGCCTTCATCAGGGTGTGATAACAACACACTCAGAGTCCTTTAACTGCAAACAATTAGTCATATGACACAGCACACCTGATGAGAATTGTCTCGAGGGGAAACTAAAAACCTTAAACAAAATCGAGAGAATCTATAAATTCAAAACAGATTTAAATCAAATTCAATGTAGTCCCTATACACCAGCGATCTATAACATCAAAATATAATTAGTGCTGTCAAATTGATTAATAATCACACAAAAAAAAAACATATATATATATATATATATATATATATATATAATCAGACAGAATATATTGGGGAAAAAAATACAATTATAATGGGTTCTGCTTGCTTTTATCGTGTCGTGTCATTCACGTTTGTTTTAGACACGGTGTTAAGACTAAAGTGAACTTATTATTACATTCTTGGTAATCGCTGATACTTGCATTTTAAACATTCCAGCCACGGAGCGGGCTAAATAAAAGTATTTGGTTTCTTCAACAAAAACATGACTGGACCACTGTAGCCTGTAATAAACCAGGGATGGGATGGTTTACAAGCATGCTGCGCCCAGATGCACAACCTGAACCTCATTGTCGTACATTAAGTCACTACATATGTCACTACTCTCCTTTTTTTCCCAAAATTAATTCACCAGCAGGAGTAAAAAAAAAACTAAATAAATAAATAAAAAATAAATCACACCTTATCAATGTGTATTAACTAATCACACAATGACTAGCCAAGAGTATCTGCAACATAGTGTGTGTTGCAGCCTGACAGAATCTTGGCAAAGTTGACAGGCCTTTAAAGATGGAACGCGGCCAATGTGTTGTTTTGGCTTGAAGGTTGCAAGAACACACACACCATTTATTTTGTTATGCAATCTAGTGAAAAAAAAATGCGGCCTGCTAGCGGGCTCTGACTTTTCCTTTCCCGGTATGTGGGCGTGATTACAACATGCAATTCAACTCGGTCTGAAATCTCACACTTAACCAAGAGCGATTACATCAGCTATTCTTTTCCAACACAGAGCATTGACTTTTGTTTGTTGCTAATGCTTGATTGCCTTAATTGGCTAGGATGTAAGAAAAGAATAAGCTTGAATTAATGGATAAAGGGAATGCGGTACTTTTTGAAGTAGAAAAGGCAAAAAAAAAGGTTTCATATCGTCTGATCTCAGCTGACCCACAGAGCACACAGTGTCTTGATTAGAGGTTTTTTTTTTCCCTTTCTATCCTTCCATGGGTCAGCGAGCTCTCCAGCAGACTGGAATTAACACACAACAAAAAACACAACTAAGTGTATATAATGCAAATTTTCATATTGCCGAATGCGTAGAAAGGGGCCAGTGGCACGCCGTTCCCAGGGACGTGCGCTCAAGCGCGAGAGTTTCAAGTCTGGGTGACCATTAACCTAAAACAATCATCTCTTAACATGCCAATATTTTGACGTGCATGACGATGTTCCTAAACCAGGTCACACTATTCTAAATTAAATGAATCTATGCAAATTGCAGACGGGCGAGAAAAATGATCCATGGCCTGGATTGCGGTGTTTTGGCTAGCGTGACGCGTTGTTTGAAAGATCGTAATTGACCGACACCTTCCTCAAGCTGCATTGCACAACAAAGAAAAAGAAAAAAATCACTATCTCTCTCTCGCTCACTCTTTGTTTAAAATGTGAGGCTCCTGGACGCTAATCCTTCATTTTTCACATGTGAAGGGGACTTAAACGGGAGCCTCTCCTTGTCAGAGAGCATAAACACTCATTATACTCTTAAATGAGAGCATGTAAATCTTTTGTATTAAAGTCAAATAAATCACTGTTCTATAAGCAGCATAACTTGTGTTTACGAAGATATCCAGGGATGAATACCGTTCACAAAAATTCTGGATTCATTTTTTTCCTTTTAAGTCATAAAGCAGAAGCAGTCCATTTTGCTTTTGTTTTAACTTTTTTTTTTAATAGGCTGAGGGGAGCACGGCACCCCAGCCCAATCTCTTCACAGCTAGTAAGTAAAAATGTGTTTGTATTCGGCAAATCCTCTGATAGAGGAACATTCATCATGCTGAACTGTGCTGAGACGAGCCAATCTCAACGGCCCTTTTAGGTTCTCTAGCGCCGTGTGTACTTGGAGAGTAAACCAACTTATCTGTGGCTTACTGGCAATCCCTAACAAACTCAAGCTCCTTGCTTCCACAGTCAGAAGCATCAGATAAGCTTGAGCAAATGGTTTGATAGCTGGGAAAAAAAGAGACAGAAACTGACCACCAATGAATGAGAGAATGTGTAGGTCATGACACAGTTAGAAAAGATGAATTTGTATTTTCAAGAATTAAGTGTGAGCTACTTAAGTACTTCTACTGAGCTGAAACTTAAATAAAACCCAGCAACTGCACTGTAAAAAAAAATATGATTAATAAGTTATGACCACAGATATATATTTTTTTACATTACTCTAGCTCATAAAAACAGCTAAAAACTGCTCAACTTTTTTGGATAAGTTATACAAAATTCAACAAATTTTTTTTAAGTCGGTTTAATGTAATTTAAGTTGAAATGTACTTCAAAATTTAAGGAAGCAACTTTAGTTATTTTCAAAAACAAACAAAAAAAATCTTAGATCACACTGAAAATCTCTCTCTATATATATAGTATAAAAACATAATAAAATATTAAATATTCTGTACTATTTATAGGTAAAGGTGGAAATCAAATCAATCATTTTTCAATTTAACTTCTGCAAACAAATTGCTTCGAATTAATTAATACCGATAAAAATAATATTTTGACTAATTTAGAACAATCTGGTCTCTGACTTTAGAATTCCAACAATAAATCAATCTAAACTCATATTATGTATTTATGAAGATTTACACTGCATGCATGGTCTTTGGATTGTCTTGTACGCCTGTACGATCTAATCGGCCCTTAAATCAACATGCGTCCTAAATCATCAGAGGTATTTAGGAGCTTTTAAACCAAGTCAGCTTGCACCTTGTATCATTCCCAGGATGAGATATGATTACACCCTGACTTTTCCTGAGTTTTATGTTCAGCTAAGGAAAAGAAATACCCCTAAATGACCACTAACTGAAGAAAACTTCTCCCGTCTGAGGAAGACGCCAAGTCGGGTCCCAGCCATCAAATAAAACCGGCAAGAGAGAGAGAGAGAGAGCGAGAGAGAAAGGGTCTATTTCATCCGGTGTCTCGCAGATGTCCGAAGGCTATGTGCTCAGAGTGTCCGAGGGCTGAATGGGCAGAGAGGGTGGGGTAAAACGGAACGCGTGTGTTTTTGAAGTGGTTTGGCCCCAAGGAACCCTGGCCTATTTGGCCTGGGCTAAACCTGCAAAGCTACAAAGGGCTGTCCACATAAAACTGTCCCTCTCATTAGGCAACTTCCTCGTGTAAGCTTAGGTGACAATTTTATGGTCCCAGCACTTCAACAATCACAAGGACACAAACTGTTTTAATTACTTTTTCTTTTATATTCTGGTGGAGAGTGTAAATGTGTGTGAATAAGAAAAAGTCTTATCTTACAAAAATCTAAAATTACACGCATATATATGAAGAGTTCAGATGCAAAAGCCTCTAAGTGCCATTTGAAATTTTCTTCTTTAATGATGATTTTTGTCAAGCTTGTATATTTAAGTTCAGTAATTTCACTTAAATGGCAATGATTATTACCTATCAATTGTTATTTAAGTGAAATTACTGAACTTAAATATACAAGTTTGATAAAAATCATCATTAAAGAAGAAAATTTCAAATGGCATTTAGAGGCTTTTGCATCTGAACTCTTCATATATATACTGTATATGTTCAACTTTTTATATAAACTGATATAGAAATAATTGTGTGTATGTGTATGTGTGTGTATAAGTAATAGTTTTAAAAGTTATATATACATTTTTTGAAACTATCTGAATAAAATCTAAATAAAAGGGGGTAGAATAACAAAACTTTCTTTAGGTCTTCTGTTATGTTTCTCCAAGTTATTTCCATATAGATGACAAACAAAAGAAGTCTTGGGTCTTAATGAAAAAAAAAAAAAAAAAAAAAAGGAACAAAACTTTCAGATGCATTTCTTATTATGAATGAAGGAAGCCATGCAAACTACTCAGAATGCATAATGAATTTTATACATCATATGTCAAATGAATTAGCATGTAAAACTCAGTGAAAGGGACAGGGGAGACTCTTGCTAATTGGCAGCAGGGCTTTATGCATAATTATTGGTGAACCGTCTCCGGCATGCCTCTGTGCCTGAATAACGAGTGGAGAGAAAGAGAGAAACACACACACACACACACACACACACACACACACACACACAAAACAAAGGCCATCCTGGCTAGGACGGGAGGAGGAGAGATCTCGACAGCAGCTCATCATGACGATGATAAACCTGCGATTGTCCATCAATACCATGTAGACGGAGAGGGAAAAAAAAATGTGGTATGTCCCAGTTGAGCTGCTCTGAATTACTAAATGACTTTGTATTACTAAATACACTAGTTTAGCGTTTATGTAACAGAAACAGTCTTCTACTGTATCTGCTGCTTTCCATTCTCAATGGAACAGTTCAAACTGAAAATATGAAAGCATATGAAATCATACTATGATCTAAATATACAAACAAAAGGAGTATTTTTATCCGTGTTTATTATTATTTCATATAAGTGAAGTATTGTTGGTTTCAAATCCCTTTATTTCAGAATCTATAATTCATCTGGAATTGGTTTCCCTTAAACAGGAACAGGGACAGTGAATTTTTCAAGAAATAGGCTACATCAAACTGTAAATTCATAATATATTATTAACAATAAAAACAGACAGCAAATGGTCAAAATTCAACTAATTATGCAGTTTAAAAGAGCATAAATAAACAAACAATCTGTTCTGACATTAGTAATGATAATCTCTTACCTGAGCAAACAGATGCAGACCCTGCCGCCGGAGGTCAGCCGACAGAAACCAAACCTCTGCTTGCTTTCAATGTCTGTGAGCACAAACGTGAAGTTCTGGCCCACCTGAGTCTGGGACACTCTTCAGTCCACCACAAAGAGAGGAAAAAACAAGTTTGACATGAATCTTTTATCAAACTGTTCACTTGAATTATATTTGATGGAATGGTCCGAGTATTAACCAGCAACTGTAACTTTTAGCATTATCATAATCATAAAAGACGTCAAATATCATAAAAGATATATATATTAAAAAAAAAACTCGGATAAAAAAAAAAAAAACTTGCTGTAAACATTGTACATGCATTCACTAATTTCATATCCAATTGGCAGCAGAAAGATTGCATCACATTTAAGGTTGTAAGAACTAAACAAATGGTGACAGTGTCGTTTATCTCCACTAGATGGCAGCAAGAAAGCTTCAGCTGGAAGGAAGTGAACTTCTCACTCAGCACATCAGCTATACAACGGCACTTTCCATTTTTCATTTCCAAGAGCAAACAAGCCAACACACACACACAGTGCTGTTTATTCAGAAGACGTGTCTAACATCATGCCAGTTAGGAGATACATGCAAACACATTGTCTCCGGACCTCTAAGTGAAGGGTCTGACATTGGAGACCAGTACTACTGGAACCAAAGGAGGTGTGCGGCTCCTCCCTGTGATTCATTTACGACAGCCTCTTAAACATGTGTGAACGAGTGTTGTATAAACAAACATCCTAATTTTTCCCTATTCACACATCAGGGATGAGGGATATCCTACCTTTCTACGTCAAACGGGAAACAGAACTTAGGCACTGTCTGCAGGACCTCCTGAAAAGAAACAAAAAGAGACATTATGGGTCGTTCAAATCATGTCAGTTAATTTAAGGATAAGCCTTAATTATTGACTTAACGATAATGACATGATATGGTGACGAACAGAGATCATGCCAAATGAGGTTGCTAATGTGTTCCGAGTGTTTTAGTGCAATGCTAACAGGTTGCATATTGCCAACTTCATGTCTCAATGATATTTTGGTGTTCAGATAGGGCTCTAATGTAAGTCTAAAGAATTTTTCGCCAGTTTTTCGTCTGCCAGGCAAAGTGCAATTGATTAGAAAAGTAAACACACTTTTTCTCAACAAACTGTTAAAAATGGTTTGGTGCGCACACTGTAATCAAATGAAACGGCTTTATGATTGTTAACGCAGATCATTAACTAGCAAACAAATGTATTTACGTTTTTAGTACATTAAATGGCAGCGTATTGTCTCAAGTCAAAAGAGCGCAACACCACGTTTCTGTGATATTCTGCTCTCTAGATGCGGCTCTAATGCAAGTCTAGGGGACTTTTCTCCTGTTTTATTTCTTTTGTCTGCCAGATGAAAACCACGAGTTCAATTGATTCGAAAAGTAGGTGTAAATCAGTTTCAAATAACTATTCAATAAGCAGAACAGTTGCTGGCACACAAATGAGCAAACGAATGGATTTAAAGGGAAACGACACCAAGCTGATGTAAAGGGGAGGGCGTTCAGAGGCTAAAATAATTAGCGGCCATTAGCTCATTGATCGTTTCGCTTGAGGTGTGGGGACGACGGAGGTGACGGCAGATTGTTGGAACAATGGCTGAGCGGCACTGGGGGTTCAGAGGAGGTGCGGAAAGGATTGGAGGGGGGGGCGAAAGTAGGCCCAGCCTTTGGGGCTTTACCTTCCCGCACAGCCCCAGAGGGAGAGTCCTAGCACCAGCAGCATATGGATTTCCATAGCCATATGGGTTAGCCACGTCTGGCCAGTCCTGCACTGTAGACTAGCCATGGGGAACTGCCAGTGATCCCCTGCTTAAAGTATAACAAGCTGCGACCATTCAGATGTTTTTGGGGGCAGCTGGGTGGCTCAAAAGCGTCTTCCATACCCGTACCTGCACTTTTGAACAAAATTAACCATTCAGCGTGCATGTATGTGCGCCAGCCTGCGCGGGTGTCTGTTTTTATTTGCGTATATATGCATATGCGGCGCGGATGATGACTGGTTGCTGATCTCGGTGGGAGGCGGTGGTGCTGATGGGGGAAGACAGTGTGAGAGAGTTAGTATGTGATACAGAGAGCGGCGAGGAGATTGAAGGCTCTGGCAGGCGAGAGAGGAACGTTGGCAGCGGCAGAAACATCCTCGCCGTGGCGTGGCGTGGCGGATGACTGTACGGCACTAAAGCTGTCACGCGAACGCAAGCCTGATGCCGCCGTATGTGACTGCTACTATCATTAACTCCTATAGGCTCTTCCCCCGAGTGTTTATGCCAAGCTGCGCCACGCATTTGCAGAAGTGTATGCAAACGGATGCAACACAAATAAAATTGTCTCCTTAGCAGATGCAGAACTTGTCGCCGGTCCCACACTGGCCTGCTTGACGCCAGTCAATGCTGGTCCCTGCTGTCAATCAGGATCGAGCGACGGAATTCATACTGGATATTATATTCAGACTAGAGCAAAGACAATATTTTTGATGACATGCAGCTGAATGAATGCATTCATAATGCCATGTCAATTGAAACAATCTAAAGAATTAAATAAACACACAAAAAGCCATGATTAAGACCACAGGAACTCCAAAGTCCTCAGCTCCTTTAATTAAATGGGGATGACTTGATAAGTGGTCTCAATATAATAAATGCTAAGAGGGGAAAAAAGTCGAAAAAATAATCGTATTTATTCTGCATGCTGTGCAAGTCATTCAGGTTTGGAACGAAATGAAGTTGTTTCAGGGTGTAACAGGTTGTGATGAAACATTACAAAGACATTTATTTAAACTGAAACTAGCAGAAAAGTGCATTTAAGTAAATTTTGATATTTGATTGAGGTTTAATGGATCTGAATGGGTTCAGTCACTTGGCTTCCGGCATCTGAGTGAAACATTCTCACGATTCTCCTCACGGTTTTAGTAGATCTAAATCTCTGTGCGCATGTGCATTACACACCTCTTTCTCTCAGGGTTTTATTACTATTCATCCAGGTGATCGGGGGACTACACCAAAGTGTGCTCAGATCGTGTGAAGAGGTGGAACGAGAGTTGCTATCGTTCCTGTTGTTTGGTTGTACTGTTTTCCCCTTTCTCTGCCTCTCTCCCAACCATTTTCCCAAGACAAAAGAATATAAAACAGCTAATGCATTTACAACTCACTGGAGGAGGCAGGATGAACTCTGCAGGCTGCATTATTTATTTACTGTTGAGACAGGGATATCACTCAATGAGACAGCGGTCTCCATTCCCCCCCTGGTCCCACTGCGGAGGCCTACAATCACAGCTTCTCCTCTATCACTATCTCTCTCTCTCCTCCACCAGCAGCATTTATTACCGCCCCATGCTACCGGGAGACACTACCGCTCCCTCCCTGAACTCCCTGCAGAGGAAGGGAGCTTCTGCCGGGCTGGATGGAAGCAGAAGATCCACAACTGGCATCAGGAGATATCAGGGGGCTTCTGCATAATGACAGCGTTCACACCTCAAGACAAAACTGCCCGATTCCCATGGAATGGGTGCTTGAAATAGTGGAACCACAACTCAGACGCAATCAGCGTCAAGTAGATGAGGATAGGGAAACATTTGACTATAAGGATGCTTTCAAAGCAGCAATTACTATGAATATGCTGTAGTTAGACTGATGTGTTAAAGCAGAAAAAAAAGTAATTTCAATTCATTTCTAAATATGTAATTTGGCCTAGATTGGATTTAAAAAGCTAAATTCACTATGATTTCTGTGCATAACACTGTCATTATTTGCGAAACATAATTATTTAGGATAACTGCGACATTTCTCGTAACCGCGACTTTTTTCTCATTATCGTAACTATTTCTTAATTGCTACAATTTTGATTATTTGGACAACTGTGACTATTTTGCACAATTGCGACTAGTTTGAATGACAATTGCAACTTTCTTTTTATTGCCACTGCTACTTTATTAATGCAAATTTCTCATAAATGCAATGCAACTATATTTCTCGGAATAGTAACATCTGCAACTATTTAAATGATTGCAAATGTATTTTGAACTGGAATTACTTCTTGATTACTTCTCAACTTTATTTCTCATAATTGCAATTTTTATGTAAATGCTTTTTTATTTCTCCTAACTGCAACTTAATGTCTGTCAATTGCAGCTTTTTGACACAATTGCAAATGTATTTCTTATTTTAAACTTTCTCTGACAACTCCGTTTTTTTTGTTTTTTTTTTAGAAATGGGCTTCTGTAAAAAAAAAAAAAAAAAAAAAACAGATCTTTGTCACATCTGTAAGGAGAGAAAAAAAATCAGATTCGGGCCACATTCAGCTGCAGCGTGAACGTAGCCAATGTTACTAGGTGATGTGAGCGTTAGAGTCGAATATTTAGATGGGAACAGTAAGACCAGAATGGGAGGGAGGGAGAAAAGAAAAGGGAGAGAGAGAAAGATGTTGCGAGTGGGAACTAAGCGGTGCACCGGATGAGCGAGTGAAAAGCATTTCTTCATTCTGTCAATACTGGGATGAAGGAGGGAGGGGGGTGCGAGAGAAAGAGGGAGAAAGAAAAGGAGAGAAAGAGGCAGAAGGAAGGTACGGGAGAGAAAGCATGAGAACTGAGATATACAGGCAGGCAGACAGACCGACAGACGAAGATAGGAAAGAAGAGAGAGATATAGTGGGAGAAAGACAGGAATAGAGAGTGAGAGAGAGACAGCAAACTCCCCCTTTCTCTCTCCAAGCTGGTGGGATTCCTCCCCAGGGGTTTCTGTCTTTAAACCTCCATGCTCTTTAAAAATTCTGCCAGCCAGCAGGTCTACACGGCGCTATGGAACTGTCTCCAGCAGGGGAGAGAAGTGTGTGATTGTGTGTATGTGTGTGTGTCTGAGGAAAGATAGAGAGAGAGACGGAGACTGGCAGAGCCACCATGCTGACGGCACAGAGATCCCAGTGACAGGTTCAAACCCAATCTCCCCACAGGTCAGTGTTCACTGTACCCCCAAACCCCAATTAAGTCCTGCTTTTTCCTTCTCCATATCCCTCTCTCTCTGGGTGTCAGTGAACGAGCCATAACACATGCAGCGCCCCGTGGTTATGATGACGAAAATGCTACTGGGTTCAAAATCAAATGCGTCTACTACTACAATTGCTAAATTTCCTTAAGGAAAAGTGAGCGCTGCTCACCTGTGCATAGCTCATCATCACAATGCTAGAGTATTGGTGGTGGTTGCTATGCTGTTGCTAAGATGTGGTTTCATAGCGTTACATGGTGGTTAGGGTGTTCTGGGTGGTTGCTAGGCATTCGCTTACTGATATAAACCGTATGTAGCCACGCCCCTTTTTAAAGCAGTGCTCGTTGTGTTCTGTCTTCCAGTTTGTATTCCCACAGCCTGAAGGTAAGATCTTACAGATTTATGAATGAACTGCTCGTTTTGAAATCTTCCCGGTTTATGACATTTGTTATGGCATCTGCTTCAAACAAAACAATCTCTACAATAAGTAAATCCACTTCACCAGCTAACAACGCTTTGATAGCAATGCCAAAGAAATATACAGAGATAAAGCAAAAAACTGAAGTCCAAAGACCAAATTTTAAAGATGGCTGCGCACTTGTCTCTGGCGCATGTGGTCTATTCTGGTCTAAATATGGCTCCAACAATGCAAGTTCTTATGCAAAATGAAAATAGTGTTCTCAATCACAACACAAAAATAAGAAAAGCAATCATCATAATACTATTATTGCCTAAAAAAAACAAAGACAACTGTAACTACTAGGGCTGTCAAACGATTAATCGCGATTAATCGCATCTAAAATAAAAAGTTTGAGTTTACATAGTATA